ACTAAAAGTTATTAAAATATATTTTACTGTTTCAGTATTTTGAGGAGAAACAAAATCAGATTTCTCTATGAAAATGGATTCTCTGCTCTCAGAGATTAGCTGTATTGTAAGTAGACGATTTTTACTTGAGCTAACAGCTTATAATTTATATAAAACTTCAAGATGTTACAAGTAAGTGTTTTAATGCTATAAGTACAAGAATAAGTTATGTTTTACATAGCTGTCTATTTTTACAAAAAGAGTAACAGGGAAAGAACAGTGGGGATTGGATTAATGGTTCATAGAGAATGTAGTCACTGGGCATAAAGATGTCTTGGCAGAGATAACAGCTTTCATCTCAGGAAGGAATATTTGTATCATAAATATAAATATTATATTATATTCCATAGATTAGCTTGGCCTAGTGGTTAAGGCTCTGGGCTAGAAACCAAGAGATTGTGAGTTCTAGTTCTGCCTTGGCTATGAAAGCCAGCTTTGGGCTGGTCGTTCTCTTTCAGCCCAACCCACCTCGCAGGGCTGTTGTGGGAAAAAATAGGATGAGGACAGCGTGTTGGATATGTTGGCTATCTTGAATTAATCGGAAAAATAATAACTCTGGATATAAATCAATCAATAAATAAAAATTTGGAAAGATAATTTTCAAAGATGAATAATATTGGGTGGAGATGAGATAAAGGCCTACTATGCATTACAGTACTGATCCAGGGGAATTCCACTGGGAATTCCCACTGGGAATTTCACCGAGCGCCATGCCGCTGTGTCCGACAGAGGCATCCCGCCCCTATGGCGGACACAGCGCCGGCGCATCCAAACACCCTGCCACGGTGTCCGACATAGGCGTCCCGCCCCTATGGCGGACACAGTGACCGGGCGTACAAACGCCCTGCCGCTGTGTCCGACATAGGGTGGCTTTTGCCCGCTAGCCTCACCAGCCATAAACCTCACCGCACGTCACTGATGTAATTCAGAATGAAAACCCAATTATATGGTACAATATAAGCCAATTTATTTTTTATGAAACAATATAGCATGTGAATACTCCTAAGATTAGAAATTCTGACAATTAAATAATCTGTCAGCTCTGATAACTTCGCTATGCTTCGCTAAGAGTGCTGGCATCCTGCCATAAACTGAGGGAGGGGAGCAAAGGAATTGGGGAAGTTGTGGCCTAGGAAAGAACGTGCTTTCCAATGCTATTGGGCATTGATAGTCTGGTTAAGGGGGGAGGCCATGGAGGAGGAAAACATAGTAACTTTATGCAGGAATACTTTTAGTGGTATCTTTGACCACTAAACCTTAATAAAAGAGCATCCATTCAATCAAATAGAGTCAAGGGTCTTTCTTTCCTAGGGGCAGGTCTGACACAGTGGTGGGTTTCAAAAGTTGTTGGAACCTACTCTGTGGGTGTGGCCTCCTTTGTGGGAGTGGCTTG